TACATCGTATCCAAATGCAGCCTTAGTGTTTGTCTTCTTATGGAGACCAAAGTTGGTCCTAATGGAGCGAATAGGTACTGTTAGATCATTCCCTATTGATGGTTTTCATATTGTTGAGTTTGGTGGTTTTTCTGGTAGCCTGTGGATTTTATGGGATTCTAGCCAATGTACTGTTAACATTATTGATTTATTTCGTCGAATGAAAGGCTAGTGCATGCTCTTATTATTAACTTAGCTACTAATCAATCTTGGCATATAATATGTTTGTTTGTGCCCTCCAAGTAAACAAGAGCGAAGGATTATATCCAATTGGATTGAGGAAATTGCTAATAATACCAAGGCCGCATGGTGCCTTGGTAATTCTGTTTATAAAGTTGTCAAGGCCTTTTTCCACTATAGGAAAATGAATAAGGCTCTTGACAAAACATTTATTACCCTCATTCAAAAAAAAAATTAAATCTATTATTGATTACAAGCCCATTATGTTATGCAGTGTTGTCTATAAAATTATATCCAAGGTTTTGGAAAACTAGATTCAACCTTGTTTGGACAGACTCATTTCTCCATTCTATAATGCTTTTGTGTTGAATAGATAGATCACAAATAATATTCTTATTACCCGTGAGTTTATCCATTCCATGTGGAAAAAAAGAAAGGTAAATAAGGAATTGTGGCCTATAAAATTGACATAAAAAAGGCTTACGATAGACTTGAGTGGGAGTTTATTGAAAAAGTTATTACCAAACTCAGGTTCCATCAAAAGTAGATTTCGTGGGTTATGGAAAGTACTCATTATACTTCAGTCCATATCTTTATTAATGAAACCCCTACTAGAGAAATTCTTTCCTCTTGTTTGGATTAGACAAGGAGACCCCTTATCCCCATATGTCTTTGTTTTATGTGTTGAAGCTTTGCCATCAAGACCAGAAAGAGAGTTTGTTTTTAGAGATAAACTAATTGGGTGTAAAATTTCGATGGCAGCCCCATTATCCCTATCTTGCAATTTGCAGACAATTGTTTGATATTTGCCGATTTCTACAAATGCTTGCCTCAAAATTAAAAAAAAAAATTAGAGAATTTCACCTTAGCCTCTGGCTAAAATACTTAAAGTTCCGTTGGAAACAAAAAAGTCCAAGTATTTTGGAGCTCCTGTTTTGGAGGGTAGGGTTACTAAGGAGGGTTTTAAGAAGCTTAAGAATAAAATGGTTAATAAACTTGAAGAATGGATGAATAATTCCCTTTCTCTTGTAAGTAAATTGACTTTTATTAATTCCTCTACTAGTATGGTCATGCAATTCATCATGAAATCCTTCAAAATCCCAAATAATGTTATTGATGATTTAGATAAGATGCAGAGAGGTTCCTTTGTTCCAAGTTAAATGATTGGAAACTTATTCACCTTTTAAATTGGAAAAGGGTGTCACTCCTAGAACTTGGGGGGCTTAGAGTTAAAAAATCCCATATGGGTTAATAGTGGTTGTATGGCTAAGCTCGGATGACATATATTTAATGAAGCATGATAACCTATGAGTTAAAAGTTATGAGGAAAACATTTAAATTATAATGATTCAAGTTCCTGAGACTATAAAGTAAGGAAAGGGATATCTTGGGATGGATGGGTATTATTTGAGCTAGATGTTTGGTTAAGAGGGGAATTGGTTAGAGAATCGGGGATGGCAAAAATGTGAGGTTTTGGTCAAATATTTGGGATGACAATTCCCCTCTCTATGAAGATGTTACTCCTAATCTCCTCGTTAATAGGTCGCTAAAAGTTAATGTAGTTATGGATGACGGGAGGAGAGGAGAACTTGAAATGAAGGCTTAATTAGGTCTCTTGTTATTCACTCTTATTGGTAAGAAATCCAACCTATTCTTATCCCTTTAGCCAGTCCTAATGATGGATAAATTGGTGCTGATTAACAAATTACCTTCAAGAATATTTCTTATAGCATTGATGGTGAATGTGCCATTTGTAACGAAGATGAGGATCTTTACCATATTTTTATGAAATGCTCTTGAGCCAAGAAAATATGGATGAATATTGGCTCAAATTTGGTAAGCCCAAGGGATGATGATGATTCGATTCGTGCTTGGTGGGTTAGAGTGTCTAACTTGAACTAACCTAATATTATGCTGGTGGTGGATGAATGGATTAAAGAAAGAAGAAGCCCTATCATCTTATGGTTAATATGGAAAAACAGAAATGAAAATTTTTTCAACAATAAGTTAACCCTTCCCCCATTCTCATCCATAGACCCACAAACTTTTTCATGGGTATTAAGTCAAATCTTATTAGGGATGTCGATTATCTTTTAATGACTCTTGGAAGCCCATTTGCTGGATAGGTCCTCATGACTCATGAGGGAGTTATTAAAATCAATTTCAATGCTTCTTGCAACATGGAAGGCATTTGCTCTACTGCTTGTATTGCTAGAGATCATTTTGGGAGGGTGTTGGAGCTCAATAATTACTTTATTGGCAGCTCTTCTATCAGCCTTGCAGAAGCCTGGGCGACATGAGAAGCGGATTATGTAGCTCTTAACTTCAAGGATTTTGTGGTTGTTATTCAAGGAAACTCCAAGCTAATATTGATTGCCTTATCAAGAGAGTAATTACTCCCTCAAATCAAATCTCAAGATGGCCATCAATAAATGTCTTTAACCGAAACAACACCTTGGTCATGTATCATTTACAAGCATGTCTATCTTAAAGTAAATAAGGCGTCTAATTGGTTGACTCATGTAACTTTCCGTAGTATATTTATACATGATTCTTTGTAGGGTAAGTTTCTTAAACTACCCTTATGGTTCTAATTGACCAAGTATGCTCCTACTGTTTGACTATTGTCTAACGCTATCCTTATTGTTTTTAACAATTGACTAATTCTATCATTACCTTTGGCATCCGTTAATATTCTGTCAAAACCTATATACATGTGAAAACTTTTTGTTTTAAAATCAAATTTTACCATTGCCACCCTCCCTCTCCCTTCTTCTTTTTCTTCTCCTCCTTCATCGTCTTCTTTCTTAATCAGCGGCAACAATAACCCCCGCTTCACTGTCTTCTTCTTAGGCATAACAAGGTCTGGGTTTGACTTAATGGCCAACCTTGCTTGACTTTGGTTTTTCAAAGGAGATGTGCTGCTAGATGGCCAAGCAGTTATAAATGCTATATTCTTGAGGACAGGCCAAGTAGTTCCAGATGTTCTATTCTTGAAGGCAAACCGGTTCTATAAGTTGCTTAGAAAAGTAGATTGGAGTTCGGAGGAGATAACAGACACACTGGGTTTCAATTGCTGGTTCTCTGAGTTGCTTAGGAAAGCAGGTTATTCCCTCTCCCTCTTGTTCTCTTCCTTGGTGATGTTGGATTTTAATCTCATAAGAGATTAAATCCAATGGGTTTGATTGGGCAATTACATGAGAAATTGCACCTGCACACTTGATTGAAAAATTAACTTTTCTCTTACAAAACTCAGTTTTGAACTTGTCCCACATTGGAAAATTATAAGCTTTGTTTTCAGTATTTTAATAAGAGCTGATTTACACTCCTTAGAAATAGTAGAGGAGAGTATGGAGGTTTGATATCGCGCGCGCATGTGTGTGGCGCACTTTGCTCGCACCTGCATAGCTCGCGAAGGGTGGCTTTGGTTTTGGTGCGACGCTAACCGTTGATCTCACGATTCAATCGGGTGTGATCAAGAGGCACAATTCAAAGTTAACAGTCATTAACTGTTAATTACTTTTTAAACAGTCACAATGTTTGAAATTAAAATTGTGACTGTTCAAGGTGCCTTCTCTGAACCAGCACCTACATTTTTTTCATACATCTTCATAAACTATTTAAGGAGCATGAATGAGACTTCAAAAACACACATTTTCGAAATCCACTTTCTCTTTTTTTCTCTCTTTCTCTCTCAGTCCGGTCTGCTACAGTCTCACAGAAGGTTTGTTCGGAGATTCTTCAACTTTACTGGTTGCAAATTCTCACCCAAAGCTCTATTCTATCCTGGGAACGGATTTGCCTATAACCCAACAACAAACTCAATGAAACTAAGTGGGGGCAAATAATATTTTAAGATAGTATCTTCAGATGCACCTCAAAACTTCTCCTCCAAAACTACAGTGACCCCAGTTTCCTACATGTGACATAGGGGAACTGCCATCTTTCCTCTCCCTCTGGTTCTCTTCCCTGGCTGGTGCCATAGGGGAGCCACCGGAATCGTAGAAGTCGAAAACAGAGGCAAAATAGCAGGCAACCATCATTGATAGTCACTGACTATTGAAACATCATAATCTGATGTTTGTTTACCTTGCTCCCGTAAACGTCATTGATAGTCACTGACTATAGAAAAGTCTAATGTATAGTCATTGATAGTCACCAACAATTGAAACGACAAAGATTATCGACTATTCAATTTTGACCCCCTTTGTTTGTTTACCTTGCTCCCGTAAAAGAAAGAATCTTGGAAATTGAATTTGTTGAAGATATGGGTTTCACTTTGCTGCTTATCCAAAGAATAAAATAGAAAAGGTAGGCCTTTGACTTCTCCATCAACTACTTCAAATGGAAATACATTAAATAGAGAGAAAGAGAGGCCGGAGGTGGAGGGGGTTAAGGGCCGAGCCAACTCAATTTGCCGTGGCTAAAAGGGAGAAAGAGAGAGATGAATGATAAAATTGAATTTTAAAAAATTATAGGTTACGTGGTATCAAGTATGTATGGATTTTGAGGAAAACTATAAAAATAAAGCTAGTCAATTATCGAAAATAAGGGTAGCATTAGATAATAATCAAATAGTAGAGATATAATAATCAATTAGTTAAAAAAAATTTACTCTTTTTTCAATTCCTTGATGTCTAATTTATTTGTTTTTATGACGCTTGGGGTCGTTCTATACCCCCCCGCCTTTTTACCACTCATCGTTAAATAAAAATCGCTTGCTACTACTTCTCCTTATTTTAGTACCAAGAATAACCCTCCTCTATGTTTGTATTTAAAATTTTCCAGTCCTAGATGCCTGCGCGTTGTCTGCGTATTGTTATTTTTCCATTCCCTTTCCACTTTGTTGCTTTTCACCCTCTTCCTGCCTTCCAGCCATTTAGGATTCTTTCCCACCTTCTGCGTCCGCTTTCAGATCCTGCTATCTTGCGCCGTCAAATGTGCTCTGTCTCGGTCTCTCCTCTTTAATCTCAAGGTCAGCTCATCTTTCTCTACCTCTCTCCCTGAATTCTCCCTTCTTATCAAAGTTCAAGCTTTTGTTTTCCGCACCTTCAACTGTTGAAAGTAATGGATTTGAATGTTTAGTTTCTCTGAAATTTTAGTTTTCTTCCTCAATTTCGTTATTTGATATGATCGAGTATTGGATGATGTACGCTGATTGGAACCCTCGGTTGCAAGATTGTTTACGCATAAGTGTATCCGATTGGAATTTTGTTTCTGCCGATAGTTGAAGTCTGTATCGTCAAATATTCTTTCTTTATGTGGGTTCCGAATTCTTCTTTTTCCTCTTTGATTACGGCCCAATGATTTCAAGCTAGTTTGTTTTGTTTTGGAATTTCGTTGCTTGATTTGGTTGGTGGTTATATAGAATTTGCGTCCATTATCTGCTTTGAGAAACTCAGTGGGTTTTAACTTCTCAGTGGATTTGCATGCACCGGTTTCTGTGTGTTGGATGAGAACTGAAACCATGGGAGATCCTTTTGTTATTTTTATCTCGTCTTTTGTTACATTTCTTTCTTTTTGTTTTTGGATTTTAAAAAGAAGACTAGCATATGAATAATGACAGAAGTTAATAAGAAATGGAGAAAAGGGAAAGCAATAGTACTTATCAAAGAACAAAAAAACGGGAAAGCAATGGCTCCCGCAACACGGGGCTTAAGTTAACGTAGAGCTAGAGTCATCATGGTTGCAAAATCGCCTCCAGTGCTCCCTTTATCTTCTTGGTGGAAGTATTGGGAGGATATCCAGTCTACACCTATGTTCTTTGTTGATTGAAAAATTGTTTTCTCATTTACAGGATATGGTCTATAGAGAGAGAAAGAGCCGACTTTTCTCCTTGCCAGCCTTTTCCTTTATGCTATGTTTGGTTTGAAGGAAAGAGTAGGGAAAGGAAGGGAAATGCAGGGAAACCTATACAAGATTTGTAAAGGTCTCCCTTCCTTTCCTTTCCTTTCCCTACTTTTTCCTTCAAACCAAACATAGCCTTTGTAGCATAGATCCAGTTCAAGCATCAGTTATTGCCTGCTAGTAGTTAGCCAATAACTCACATCAATTTATAGAAAATAAAATAAAATATTAAGAAAATGAAAACCCAATCAGATAATTAAAGGCTGCTCTATTGGTTTAAAAGTTTCCGAAGATGTAAAAATTTGAAAAATATATATGGCCATTACCCTATGTTGGTTGTGGTTATCTGGGGTCTTGGGAGGGATGGATTGGATATGGACCTAACCTTGGGCATTTTTTGAACAAAGTGGTTACTCTCAGACTTGAAGCTGCATTATCACACCTGTCAGCTGAAGGTTTTACAATTGCACCAAGAAATGGCCCCTAAAAATTCAGAAAACAAAGAAACCTAAATATCATATTCATCAACCAGTTGCCTCAGTGAAAAGGTGCTTTATATATGCCAAGTTGTGCTATGCCCAGCCTTGCCCTAGATTGCGAACTCGAAGTAGGCATATATAATATGAAGTGTATATGTAGTATACTATATCATATTATCAGATATACTAATAATGGAATAGAGTGTGTTCATTTTTAAAATTTTTACTTATAGTTTGAGGCTTAGAACTTAAAGAATAGGAAGAAAAGAAACAGTAGCAACCATCTGATTACAGAAAAAAGGGGGATGAAAAAACAGGGTACCCCTCCTCCCACCCATTATTTTTTCTCTCTTTCTATCCAAGCCTTTGTGCATGTGGATTCTGCACAGAGTCTGGACTAAGCTCCTGGTTGACCTCGCAGGTGTGGGTCCACAGTTTGAGTTTGGAGTGATCCTGCCGTAGACTTTACGAGTCTGGGTCCAAGGTTAAAGTTTGGAAGATATTTGGGCAATGTTTAGAGGTTTAGTTTCTGAGGAGAGGGGTTACAGAGAGTTTAAGTGAGCTTTTAGGGGGGCTTTCAAGGGGGATCAGGTTTGAGTCTTTGGGATAAGATTGTGGGTATTCGAGCAAAAATCGGATGCTGACACTTATCAGCTTATCATTTTACCATTTTTTTTGATGAATAATAGTAAGTTTATTGATTCAAAAGCAAATTAGAGTGAGTTCATACATCATCCCAGTGAGAGGCACGAGCTGCAGCCCCTCCTTGAAACTTACAAGTAAACTAGGAGAGAAAAACAAGAATCACAACTGAGCCCAAAATAATTCTTCCTTATTTACCCCTTGCTTAGCTAACACATCTGACAAGGTATTTGCTGATCTCCCCACCCACTGTACAGTGACCAACATATTCCTTGTCAACCAACTGAATTTCTTCA